CGTCTGACATACTTTGGACATGTTGCCAGGAGGGACGGGTCCTTGGAGAGGGACATCATGCTTGGGAGGGTGGAGGAACAGCGCAGGAGGGGAAGACCCTCTATGAGATGGAATGATTCGGTGACTGGGGTAATCGGGATGGGTGTGTCAGAGGCAGTGCAGCTGGTGCAGGACAGAGCAGGGTTTAGGGCTGTTGTGCATAGGGTCGCTATGAGTCGCAAACGACTCGACAGCACATAACAACAACAACAAATATATATCCAAAAGAAATTAAAACTATACCCACACAGAAACCTGTAGAAGAATGTTTATTAGTAGTATTTTTCATTACAGGCAAAAGGTGGAAACAATCCCAATGTCTATTAACTGATAAATGGGTAAACAAAATGTGGTATATTATGTGGACATAAATAAGAATAAAGTGCTGATAGAAGCTATAAAACGATGAACCTTAAAAGCATTAGCTAAGTAAAAAAAAGGCAGCAATTAAAATCCACGTATATAATTCTATTTGTATAGGGAAAAGAAGGACAAGTCCTTGGAGAAGACATCATGCTTGAAAGGGTGGAGGGTCAGCATAGAAGAGGAAAACCCTGGATGGGAAGGACTGACACAGTGACTGTGACAATGGAGTCAGGTGTGCAAGAGATGGTTACGTTGGCTCAGAATAGGTCAAGGTTCAGAGCCATTGTCGATAGGGTCACTATGAGTCATAGTCAACTCAAAGGCACATAACAACAACAACAACAACAACAACAACAACAAAGAGCTATAGAACTGGGGGTTAGGATGTAGATGAGTGTAAAGTGTATGAAGCTTCTTTCTGAAGTGAAAAAAATACTCCAATATTGACTGTAGTAATGGTTGCCCATGACTAAGAATATACTAAAAACAACTGAATAGTACACTTTAAATTCATGAATTTTATTTTATGTAAACTCTATCTGCTTTCGGCAGAATGTTAAATGATCCAGGAAGTATTAAAAGAAGATGGAAAGAATATACTGAATCACTGTATCGAAAGAAATTGGAGACACAGAAGAATTTCATGAAACAACATATGAGCAAGAGCCTATGGTGATGAAAGAAGTAGTTCAGGCTGCTTTGAAGGAAATGGCAAAAAATAAGGCTCCAGGAATAGACGGTATACCACTGACATAGTTCAGCTAACAGATGTTGCCCTGGACATGCTCACCAAGTTGTGCCAAGAAATCTGGAGAACAACCACTTGGCCAACGGACTGGAAGAGATCTATATTTGTTCCCATCCCAAAGAAAGGTGACCCAACAGAGTGTGGAAACTATAGAACAATCTCACTGATTTCAAATGCAAGCAAGATTTTACTGAAGATTATCCAAAAATGACTGGAACAGCACATCAGCAGAGAACTACCAGAAGTCCAGGCTGGGTTTAGAAGGGGTCGTGGTACTAGGGATATTGTAGCTGATGTTAGATGGATCTTAGCTGAAAGCAGATAATACCAGAGGAATGTCTATCTGTGTTTCATTGACTATGAAAAGGCACTTGACTGTGTGGATCATAACAAACTGTGGCTGACTCTGAGAAGAATGGGAGTCCCAGCACACTTGATCGTGCTAATGCGAAACCTATACTTGGACCAGGAGGCAGTCATCAGAACAGAACAAGGAAACACTGCATGGTTCAAAATTGGAAAGGGCGTACGCCAGGGATGCAACCTATCTCCATACCTTTTTAACGTGTATGCAGAACAGATTATCCAGGAGGCTGGGCTCTATGAGGAGAAATGTGAGGTAAAGACTGGTAGACGATTTATCAACAATCTGCATTATGCAGATGACAGAACCCTACTTACTAAAACTGAGGAGGACCTGAAGCACCTGCTGCAGAGGGTCAAGGACTGCAGCTTCCAATATGGATTGAAGCCCAATGTCATTAAGACAAAGATTCTCACCACTGGACCAATTGGCAGCATCAGGATGGATGGTGAAGAGATTGAGATTGTACACAGCTCTAGTTTGCTTGGCTCCACAATCAACACCCTTGGTACCAGTAGCCAGGAAATTAAAAGGCGCACTGCCATGGGAAAGTCTACTCTTAGGGACCTCTCCAAAGTACTGAAGAGCAATGGTGTCTCTCTGGAGACTAAGGTGCATCTGATACAGGCCATGGTCTTCACAATCACTTGTTATGCATCAGAGAGTTGGACAATGACCAAGGAGGATAGAAGGAGAATTGATGCCTTTGAGCTGTGGTGCTGGAGGAGAGTATTGAAAGTACCATGGACTGCTAGGAAAAGAAACAGATTCATCCTGGAAAGGGTTAAACCAGGTGGCTCCTTGGAGGCAAGGATTCTGAGGCTCCATCTAACATACTTTGGACATGTTGTGAGGAGAGACCAGTCCTTGGAGAAGGACATCATGCTTGGAAGGGTGGAGGGAGAACGCAGGAGGGGAAGGCCCTCTATGAGGTGGACTGATTCAGTGACTGGGATAACTGGGATGGGAGTGTCAGAGACAGTGCAATTGGCACAGGACAGGGCAAAGTTTAGTGTTGTACATAGGGTCACTATGAGTCACAAACGACTCAACGGCACATAACAACAACAAACTCTATCTCAATAAAACTGTGGAGAGGAAGAGAGTGAGAGAAAGGATCCACGCGGCGGATACAGTAAATTAGAAGAGACAGTTTTCTAAACTTAATCTGTTGAGCCTCTGAAAGCCAAACTAGGAAGTAAAGTTATAAGCAGTAAGAAATTATTTTTACATTCTCGAGCAGAAGCTGACTAATGAATCAGAAGGTCAAAATTGGGGGAAAGAGATTGCTGACAAGGAGAAAAATTTTAGAGGATAGTATCATAATCCAAGAAAAAAATGTAATAAAGATTTGAACAAGGAGGAACGTGGCAATGGGAATGAAAAGAGATGACTGGAAGAGATATTTCAGATGTGAAACTAATATGCCTTGGCAAGTATTAGAAGATGTAGAAAGCAAGAAAAATCAGAAGGGGTAAAAGAAACTTCCAGCATTGGAAGAGGGTGGTATCACAGCCAACACAGAGTAGTAAAGTAGCAGTACAGATGGGACAAAAATTAATCCTAGTTATACTAAGTATACTATTCGACAAGTAGGTGGCAATATCCAAACTAAAATGTATTAAATAATGCTGACTGCAACAACAGAAATTTTGTTAAAAAAAAATCCTGAATTAGTTAATTGTCAACAAAATATTTTAATCAGTTATTCAAATACAGTTATGGATTCAAAAATATAAATCAAATTAATTACATTAATGCAGAAATCAATTAATCTCTAAAAGTCTATTTATGAAGGATACTATCTCTTGGTCTACAGGAGCTCAGGTGGTTTACTGCTAGGATGTTGAGCTATTAATCCAAAGGTCCCTGATTTGAATCCACAAGTGGCTCCAAAGGAGAAAGATCGATAAATCTACTCCCCAATAAGATTTATAGCCTCAGAAACTCAGATTACTTAATCTAGAAAAACCTCACTTACCCTAGACTTTCTCACTTTCCATCATGTTACAACTCACAGTTGACCCTTTAGAAGGTTTTTGGAGGCTGTAAGTCAAAAGAGACTGTCCCTCCTTCTCTCTCAGAGCCACTGGTAGATTAAGAACTATCACAGAGGTGCCACCTTTGAGAACTTTACAGTTAAAAATTAGAAGATGAAATGTATTCATTGAAATAATAAAGCTAAACAAAAAAAAGACATACTAAAGCTCACTGCCATTCTGGGTCAATTTAACTTCACTGTCATTGCAAAAAGTGGTCACATCAGATACCGAGACTTGAATGACAACATACCAAGGGGTCTACTAACTAAATCACTTTAAGCCTTTCTTTCTCCTACCATGAAACTGTTATCAACCCAGACAAAGTTCTACCATATCCTTATACTAAGAAATAAGATCACACTTTAGAAAAGTAAAACAAAACTTCCAATTATGACTGATAAGGTTATAGCTATTCAGTACCCACATCCTCTTAAAAATAAACAAAATCCTCATCAATATAAATTAAAATTACAATAATGTGAAGATGAATTATTTTATATTATTATAAGCATACTTATTTTAAAATCAAATATTTGAAAGTGACTAATTTTCCATTTAATAAGTATATTTCTATTACTAGATTTATATATTGTTAGTACTGACCACATTTTTTTTTTTACCAACTGCAATGTCATTACTTCCGTTTGGATTTAGAGAATCAAAGTCATGAGAATTTAGTCTATAATTATTGTTGCTGTGTACTGTTGAATTAGAACTGACCCATAGCTGACCTTCTGGTGGGTTTTCAGAGACAGTTAACACACGAGAGGAGAATGCCCCTCCTTCTCTCATGGAGCAGCTGGTAGATTCGAACTGTGAGCCTTTTGGGATTTCAGAGCAGCTTCTTGCCACTTGGCCCCATAAGCTCCCTTGTAATTATTAATATTTTTACTAATGGTGGGAAATAGCAATGTGAAGAACAAAAAAGAAAAACATAGTTATTGTCCTTATGACTGTCCCATTAAAGTAACAATAATAATTTGTTTTAAAAGTACACTGACAAAAAAAAAAAAATTAAAAAAAAAAAAAGTTACAGGGCAAAACCAACCTATTCATAAACAGACTGAAAGACTATAGACCAAATGTAACATAATTATTCTTTTTGGATGATAGGCCAAAGAATGGTTCTTTTTCTTCTAGTTATGTATAATTTCAAAACAGAAAACTTATTTTTTATTGTAACTGTTCAAAGAAGTATTTTTTTAAGAAGGAAAAAACTAATCCAGAACGAAGGCTGCATAGTGGAGTGGACTTGGCAGAAGGGATTGTAAAACAATATAAGAATTTTTCTTTTACTTTTCAAAGAGGGGAACAAACTGGAGAGGAAGGGTGGGCAGGGAGAAAAGAGCAACAATGAAAGAATGGAAAGCCAAAATATCTGGAATTTTCATTAAAATTAATAATAATTTAAAAAAAATTGATTAAAAAGAAACATACTTACCAGGTCTCTGTGAAGCACCCAATTTGCATGGAGGTAATGAATACCATCAAGAATCTGGTACAGTAACGATTTAACCATGGATCTTGGCAACTGCATGGGCTTTTTATTTGCTTTTGATGCACGATGAAACTTAATAATATGCTAGAAAATTAAAAATAAAACATAGCATAAGAATTTATAGTTGTTGCTAAATGTCTATACTATATAACATAATAAGCTATAAAAAACAAAAAAGAAAGTCCAAATTCACTATGAATTGAGAATATATAAAATTTTGACAAGTCAGTGGTTTCTTAAATAGTAGGCAAAAGATTTACATACAAACCAATTGATATGATTGGCATTGCTATCTATCTTAATGAGGGTTAGAGTGACTACATTTGCTTAAGATATTTATTCAAACAGAAACAAAAGGTAAAAAGATTTATATTCCTAAGAGTTTATATTAAAAACCTACCTAAAAATATAAATTATGCTACCTGCTTAGAATTTACCTTCTTTTATGATTATCTATGAAATGTTCTTTCATAAGGAAATATCCAGTTCAAAGAAAGATGTTTAGATGTGAGGCTGTTAAAAATATACTTCACCAAAAAAATATTTATATCCTGTTATCTGTAATAGTATCTTTTGTTTTATATCTACATCATGTTGTTGTTTAGTGCCATCGAGTTGCCTGAGACTCACAGTGACTCTATATACAATAGCTCTGAGGCCTGCCCTGTCCTGAGCCAGTCTCACTAACTCCAACACACTCACCCTCACTGTCACACTTACTGTTATCAATCCATCACATCCAGAGTCTTCATTTCCTGCACTGTCCCTCCACCCTCTGAGGATGATGTCCTTCTCCAAGATTCAGTCCCTCCTGGTCACATGCCCAAAGTATATGAAGGTTTCCTAGCCTTCAAGGAGAAACTTGGTTTCACCCTCTCCAAGACAGACTTATTTGTTTTCTTGACAGTCCATGGTAAGTTCAAGACTCTTCTCCAGCACCACAACTCAAAGGCATCAATTCTTCTGACATCCTTAGTCATGGACTGGATCAGGTACACTTTAGTCTCTAGACTGACACTGTTGCTTTTCAGTACTCTGGAAAGGTTCCTGACAGCAGATTTACCTAATGCAATTCGTCTTTTGATTTCCTGACTGCTGATGTTAAGAGTGTTGACCGTGGGGCAGAGCAAGCTGTAACTGTTTAACAACCTCAATCTCTTCTTCACCCATCATGGTGCTGTCAAGTTGCCCAGTGGTGAAAATCTGTTGTCTTAATGTTGAGTTCAATCCATACTGAAGACTACAGACCTTGACCATCTGCATGCTTTTAAAAATTTAATTTTAATGGTAATACGCAAAACCAAACATATATCCATTCACCATTTCTACATGTGCAGTTCAATGACAATGGCTACCTACTTCACAATGTGTCATCATTCTCACTATCCCTACCCACGATAGTGTATTACTATTCATTCTGATTCTCTGTTCCTTGCAGGTCTTATCAGTGCCTCAGATTAACTGTTACCACTTTGAAGTCATATGGTAATTCTTTATAAGAACACAACACTCCATGTAAACATTCTTCACCAATCAAGTCAAACTTCTGTTTAATTCAATAATGGCTTCATAGGATCATTTTGGGTCAAGGCCCAGAACCTATCCAGGGGTTCCCTATATTAACTCTTTAATTAAATCATACTTTCACAATATTAAAACTACAATAATTTTTTTATGATAGACTGAAGGGTTCCTTCTTGTCTGTTTATGGATAATTTAAAAATATTCTAAACCTAATAGTCTATTATAATTGTTCAAAGAAGAAATTTTAGTAGTATTTGTGTTCCCTAGCTCCTTAATCGAACATTAGACTCTCCTATAATCTCTTCACAAGCAAATCACATATCTAACATGTAAAGAAAATAAATAAATAAAACAACTATTATTTGCTACTGACAGAATAATTTAAAAAAAAAAAAAGCTCAAAGTCATTGCCATGGAGTCAGACTCTTTCATAGCTGGGCCTCTAACAGTTTTTCCAGAATTGTAAATCACATGGGAGAAGACTGCCCAATCTTCTCCTGTGAAGGATCTGATGGATTTGAACCACAAGAAAATCAATGCCTTTGGATTAGCAATGCAACTTCCTAAAGAATAAGTCACCAGAGCTTAAGGCAAAACAAAAGAGGGTAAAAACCAAACCAACAAAGCTACTAAAAATCTTTACTATTTTTTTAAAAAGTTAGTTATTAGAATTATTGGCTGAAACCAAAACAAAAAAAAAAAATATTGCAGTAAATTCTGACTTAGTGACCCTCTATGACAGAGAACTGCCTCAAAGGGCTCCCAAGAAGCAGACAGTCAAATCATGTTTTTGTGGAGTAGTTAGTGGATTTGAACCACCAACCATTTGGTTAGCAACTGAGCACTTATGCACCACTGAAGATCCTCTGATTGGTGCTCTTAAGATAGCCGTGTGGTACTGGAAAATTTTTAAGCTAGTTATACAGTTTGAATTTTTAAATGCTGCTCAACAGCATTCACTTGATTTTAAGAAACAATAGGAAAACTGGGTTTATACTATAGTAACTTTATCTAGAGAGACAGATAAATTGTGACAAGTTGTGATTATTTACATTGAGGAGACCAGAAGTTCCAGAGTACTTGATTGTGCTCATGTGGAATCTATACCTGGATCAGGAGGCTGTTGTGCAGACAGAGCAGAGGAAGACTTAATGGTTTGGAAATGGGAAGGGAAAGTGTCAAGGCTGTATTTCTTCTCCATACCTATTCAGTCTGTATGCTGAGCCAATTATCTGGGAAGCTGGACTCTATGAGGAGGAATGTGGCATCAGGATTGGAGGGGGACTCATCAATAACCTGAGTCAGGTAGATGACACAACCCTGCTTGCTGAAAGTGAGGAGGACTTGAATCACCTGTTGCAGAAGATCAAGGAATGCAGACTTCAGTATGGGTTGCATTTCAATTTCAGGAAAACAAAGATTCGTACCACTGACTGGACTGATGGGCAGCATAATGACAGATGGAGAGGAGACTGAAACTGCCAACAGCTTCATCTTGTTTGGATCCACAATTAACATCCTTAGTACAAGCAGTCAGGAAATAGACATATTGCACTTGGAAATTCTGCAATTAGGGACTTATCCAAAGTATTGAGGAGTCAGTTTGAAGACTAAGGTGTTTCTGATTCAGGCGATAGTCTTTCTGATTACTATCTATTCACCCCATACTTTGGACATGTTGCTAGGAGGTACTATTCCTTGGAGAGGGAAATGATGTTGGGGAAGGTGGACAGTCAGCGAAGGAGAGAAAGACCCTGAACCAGGTGGACTGATGCGGTGACTGCTGCATTGGGCTCGTGTGTTATGAAGTGTGAGGATGGTGCAGGATAGAGCAGGGTTCAGATCTTTTGTTTATAGGGTTGCTATGGGTCATGCTTGACTTGATGGTACCTAACAACAACGTTATCTAGAAGGGCTCTTGTCCTGGTCCACTAGATAAGGATGTGCAATTAACTCCCTCTAAACACTCAAGAGTCAGCTATGGGTCGGTACACAACAACATAATCCAACAGATAATGGGAACCACATATGTAATTTTTTAACAGCTACATTTAAAAAAATAAAAATAAACATTCAAAATTAATCTTAACATTTTTTGTTAACAAATCTAAAACACTATCATTCATTTCAACATGTAACCAACAGACTGTAATTTTTTTTCCTTTACATCCCAGCTCAATCTTAATTTTGCCAAGTGCTCAACAGCCACAAGGAGTATTTGTTGTTAGATGCTATCAAGATGAATTTCATTCAAAGTGATTCCACATAACAGAGTGGATGGGACCCATAGACAGTTCTGATGGCACAGGAGGTAATCCTTTGACTGCTAAGAAAAACATCTCCAGACCTACAGAAAACGATGCTAAAAATACAAGTACTTCAACTTACCCACAAATCATGCTCTGCATAATCAAACAGTAGCCACACCTTCCGGTCACTGTGAGAAAGGAATACCTTCTGCAATGCGATTACATTTGGGTGCTTCAATTCTCGCAAAAGCTAAATACAAGAGGAAGAGAAGGATCACTATTCTGTTAGTAAAAAGGGGAAATGTTAAATTTCTATTCAGTTCAAAATAACAGTTTCCATCAAGTTCTTGCCTTCAAGGGTTCCACTTTGAATACATTCTCAATAAAATAAGAAGTTCTATTATTTGGATTATTTCCCCCCCAAAAAAACCCACATTTATAATAATCCATTTCAATGAAATTTTGAAAATGTAGAAAGTCTAGGAAAATTTTTTAAAAAACCAACTCATCCCAAAATACCACTTAAAAAAGATGGGTTGTTATGTGTGCTCTCAAGTAGCTTTGCAACTCATAGTGACTCTACATACAATGGCTCTGAATCCTGCTCTATCTTAAGACAATTTCATTGCCTTCAACACATCTACCCCCATGACCCCAGCCACTGGGTCAATCCATCTCATCCAAGGTTCTCCTCTTTTGTGCTGTCCGTCCACAACGCCAACCAGGATGTCATTCTCCAAGGACTATTGCCAAAGTATGTGAGACAGAGCTTCAAACTCCTTGCCTCCAAGAACAGTCGGTTTCACCCAATCCAGAAAAGACCTGTTAGTTCTCTTAGAAGTCCATGATATGTTCAATACTCTTCTCCAGCACAACAACTCAAAGACATTGATTCTTATATCATTCTTAGTCACTGTCCAGCTCTCAGATGCATAGGAAATAACTACAAAAACCATAGCTTGGATCAAGTGCACCTTAGTCACTAGACTGACATCGTTGCTTTTCCATTCTCTGGAGAGGTCCCTGACAACAGATTTTCCCATTAACATTCTCTTCTCCATTTAACTTAGTGCTGTCAATTGGTCCAGTGGTGAGAATCTTTGGGTTTTGGGGGGTTCTTTTTCATTTCTTACTTTACAGATGAAATATTCAATTATGTAGCATTCTTTTTTTTTATACAAGAAACAGAGCCCTAGTCACACAATCTTTGTTTGCTTGATGTTGAGCTTCAATCCATATTGAATGCTGCAGTCAATGAGCTGCAATCCATATTGACCTTCTGCAGCAAATACCTTAAGTCTTCCTCAGTTTCAGCAAGCAAGTTTGTGTTATCTGCATAACCCAGGTTGTTGATGACTCTTTTCCCAATTTTTTATGCCAAATTTGCCTTAATTCCTTCTTGATCATATTCCTTCCTGTTTCATTAAATTCTTCTATGTCAGCCAATTCCTTTTGGTATGGTGACTCTGTGTACGCCTTCCATCTTCTTTTGCTGTTTTCGGGGTTATTCAACACATACTGAACACAGCATCCTTAAGTATTACAACTTGAGGCTTGAATCTGTTTTTCAGTTCCTTCAGTTTAAGAAAAGTCAAGCAAGTTTATCCCTTTTGATTTTCCAACTCCAGCTCTTTCTACATTTCATAATCCTTTGCTTTGTCTTCTCATGCACTCTTTGAAATCTTCTGTTCAGCTCCTTAACTTCCTGATTTCTTTCCTTTGTTTTGGCTTCTCAGTGCTCTCTTGCAATATTGAGAATCTCTTCTGACATCCATATTGGCCTTCTTCCTGTCTTTGTAATGACCTTTTGCATTATTCATGAATTATATTCTTGGTATCTTCCCACAGCTCATCTGGTCTTCACTCATTAGTATTCAAGCACTCAAACCTGTTCCTGAGACGGTCTTTAAATTCAGGATGGATAGACTCAAGGTCAAATTTTGGTTCTTGAGGATTGGACTTTATTTTCTTTGAGTTTGAACTTGCATATGAGTAGCTGATGGTCTGTTTCACAATCAGCACCTGGCCTAGTTTTTATAGTTGATATTGAGCTTCTCCAATAAATTGTCTCACAGATGCAATCTGATTTCTCTGTAGGCCATCAGGTGAGGTCCATGTGTATAGTCGCTGTTTGTGCTTCATATAAAAGGTATTTGGGGGGGAGGGGGAGAAGGTATTTGCAATGAATAAATCATTGATTATATTATCATTCTGTCAGCAGCTTCCTTTCTGTCACCAAGCCCATGTTTCCTTCTTGCATTTTGGTTGCATGTCTGAGCAATTTCAAATGGTAATAACTGGTAGAAGTCACCTATTTTTTCCTCTTTGGCTCTGGGTGTTGGCGCATAAATTTGAATGACAGTGGTATTAACAAGTCTTCCTTGAATGCATATAGATACATTATTCTGTTGCTCACAACACAGTATTTCAAGATGGATCTAGAAATGTCTTTTTAACTATGAATGTGACCCCATTTTTTCTCACCTTATTGCTCTGGTGACCAAGTGGGTAAGGAACATTGCCAACCCAAATGCAGTCAGTCTAAATCCCTTCATTAACTACTTCACTGGACAAAGATGGCCAGTTTTCTCTTGTGTAATTTGCAAGTTCTGAAAACCCACTGGAGGGCCAGATATCAATCAGTTCCAACTTGACAGCACATGGTAGCAGTGTAAGACAGTGTAGAACTGCCAGAAGGCTTCTGAGGATGTTCTCTTTCTGAGAACAATCTATTAAGTCTCTTCTCTTTGTTCCACAGGGTTTGAATCACATCAGGTTTTTGTTTCCACTGTGCCACCAGGGCTCCAGTAAGACAGTAGCTCTGTCAGCATTTTGATGCATATCTTTCTAATCCCACCGTGTGTGTGTGTGTGTGTGTGTGTGTGTGCTTGTTTGTGTTTATGTGTTTAAATTGGGATTATTTAAACTCTAAACTACTGGTCCCCAAATATTCCATGTAATACAATGACCTGGAGATCTTTTTTAAAAATTCCAAAGCTTAGACTACATCATAAATCAACAAGAGAAATCACAATCTGTGGAAGTGAGACACATCGATATTGTTTTGAAACCCCCTAAGGGATTCTGGTGTGTAGGAAATTTTTTAAAAATTGTTATATATTGTTCTTAGAGAGTTGTCTTTAACTAAGGATCAGATATAATAGCTAGAAAGAAATATATACAATTTGACAAATATTTTTAAAATTTAAGGCTCTATCAATGCTTCTCTGGTGGCCTAGTGTTAAGAATCTGTGCTGCAATCTCAAAGGCACGTGATTCGAATCTATCAGCTGTTGTACAGGAGATGGATGCGCAATCTCCTCCTAGCAATAAACTGCCTCTGAAAACCCACTGAAGGGTCAACTATGGGTCAGTTCTGACTCAATGGTAGTCAACAACAACAGTGGATGTTTCAAAAGGGAAGAAGTGGGAAAAACTTTTCTTGAATGCTTTCTATGTGCAAGGTAATTCTATCTAGTTTATCTATCTATCTATCTATCTATCTATCTATCTATCTATCTACCTACCTACCTACCTACCTACCTACCTATCTATGAATTTTATTCCTCATTTAATACTTAACAAAGAGCTCTGATGACCTAGTGGGTAAGGAAGGATTTGCACCGTAAACCCAACAGCATGTGGGCAATTTCCTCCCCTGTGATTCGTAATCCCTGAAAATTCACTGGAGAGTTAGCTATGAGTCTGTTCCAACTAGCTAGTACATTTTTCATTCTTATTAATACCTTATGATGGACACTAATATGAGTTTTGTCCCCAAAAGCTATCTCAAAAATTCAACAGAGTAGCAAACAATAAATGCTGGCGAGGTTGTGGAGAAACTGGAACCCTTACTCACTGTTGGTGGGAGTGTAAAATGGTGCAAACACTATGGAAGGCTGTATGGAGTTTTCTCAAAAAGTTGCAAATAGAAATACCATTTGACCCAGCAATTCCACTACTGGGAATATACCCCAAAGAGACCATAACTGACATCCAAGCAGATATATGCACACCCATGTTTACTGCGGTTTTGTTCACAATAGCAAAGAGCTGGAAACAAACCAAGTGCCCATTAACAAGAGGATAGAGAAGCTGTGGTATATTCAGACAATGGAATACTATGCTGTGTTGAAAAATAGGAACTCATAAAATATTACACAAAATGGGTGACCCTAGAGGAGGACATTATGCTGAGTGAAATATCTCAGTCACAAAAGGGCAAATACCACATAGTGCCACTGTTGTGAAACAGGACTGACTTCAAGGTTGGGGGAAGCCTACGACAAGGGGATAAATAATGTATACTGCATTGAAACAGATAAGAGAGAGAACTGTTCAAAAGGAATATATGATTACGTACTATTTTCATGACAATATTCCAGAAAAATAAATGCAAAGTTAAGTGTACTGTGGACTGGGGAAGGGGGGGGGAGGATTGTATAACAATGAAAGATTTTTTTTTCTTTTCAAAGAGAAAAGCGAACCAGGAAGGAGGGGTGGGCAGGGAAGAAAATGTGCAACAATGAATGAATGGGGGGGGGGGAATTAAATGGGTAGAATATGCTGTGAAATATATATTTTGAATTAAAAAAAAACCTAACTGTAAGAGATTCAAAGTTGTGTTCACTCCAAAGGTCACCCAACAGAATGCAGAAATTAGTGGACAGTATCAATGCTGTTACAGAGGCATCTGAATGTGTACAACCCAACAAATTATGGATAGTATTACAAAGAATGAGAATTCCAGAGCACTTAATTTTGCTTACACAGAACCTGTATATAGACCAAGAGGCAATAATTTGAACAGAATATTCCAGGTTTATTCTCACTAAGCACCTCAGCATTCATTTCATTACTGCCAGACACAGGTCATAAATGATAAAATAGATTTTCTTTTTTAACTATTATGTAACTGCAAATTGTTGGGCAACAGTAAAGTAAGTGAAGCATATATGTATGTATACTTTTTAAGAAAAAAATTTGTAATGGTTTTAATTTAAAATATACTTGCTCCCAGGGCTTAGTTAAGGAATTATGCAGTTATGTATTATCTGTTTTTTCCATTAAACTCCCTGAAGGCAAATAATTTTGTTGATTTTACATCTTCAGCGCTTAAAGGGTCGATGGTTGTTGTTGCCAGGTGTTGTCGAGTAGAGTACAACCCATAAAGATCCTACGAACAACAGATCTAAATGAACTCTGTCCTATGCCAGCTTCACATTTCCTGACACACAAGAGCCCACTGTG